TCCCCGCCGCGTGGACTCAGCACATTCCACGGGGCAGAGCCAGGGGCAGAGCGGCCTCCCAGGCGGTCCCCTGCTCCTGCTCTCGCTCCCTCCATCCCCGCCGGTCTCCAGGGCGAGCTGGGCGGTATTTGCTGACAAAGGAATGCACTGTCATCCAGGACAGTTTGCGGTCCGAGCATCGCCCCCAGCTGTCGTCACCGCGGGAATGACAAGTGTTTCCGCCGCAGGACGGAGCTGCTTCCTGTTTACTGGCCATTAAGACGCTGACAATTAAGGAAGAAACGGGCCCGCCGGGGGCTTCTCAGCGTCTCCTCCAATTTATTGTGACTTTTGTAACGTGCTGGGCCGAGTCCTGAATAGCTGTGAGCATTCCCCGAATTCTAGAGCGTCGCCTCCCTGCGCTGGATAACACGTTTTTAAATGTTTTGCAAGCGGCGCTGGCTCCTCCGCAGCGTGAGTCGAGGCCCCGGGTTACAACAGCCGCGCAGCCGGAGCTGCAGTGTGAATGGCCGGCGACGTCAATCATCCTTGAAGCCGTGTTTGTGGTCGTTCCGCTGTTTTTCTTGGTGACTCGCTGCCAGAACCCATCGGGTCCTCGCTGTGTGGCCTCGGCTTGGGGCAGAGCTCGCAGCGAGCGCGGCGCCGGCTGCTTCTTCGCTGCCCTCGGATCAGTCGTGTCTGAAACCCGAACTTTCCCTGCAGCTTCGTTCCCAGCCCCAGGCCCACTTCGTGGGGGCTGGTTTTGTTAGAACAAGATCACATGCCCCGTAAGCCCACTTAACCGAGCTGACACAACTCGTTTGCCTGAACTGGAATGAATGCCCCCCGGGGACACCCTCGGCTCCCCCAGGTAACGTGAGACGCTGGCATGAGGACCACACGGGGGGACCAGTGTTATTTCCCACACGGAATGTCAGCAACATTAAAGGTCTTATTATTTTAGGTTCTTAAAACGATGTTCTCCGTGGACACAGACAATAGGGTGGTGAAGACCCGGGGTGGGAGGGGCTGGGTGGAGGGGGGGAAGGGGGGGGAAATGGGAGACGTCTGTAATACTGTCAACAATAAGTATCCTATCTAATAAAAGGGTAATATGCAAATCAACCGAATGCCGAATGACCAGTCACTATGACATGCACTGACCACCAGGGAGCAGACGCTCAATGCAGGAGCTGCCCCCTGGTGGTCAGTGTGCTCCCACAGGGAGAGCACCGCTCAGCCAGAAGCCGGCTCACAGCTGGTGAGCACAGTGGCGGTGGCGGGAGCCTCTTCCGCCTCCGCGACAGCGCTAAGG